TGGGGAGAGAGGTATTGTAATAATGTAAAATATGTGAAAAATAATGTGTTTTTCGAACAACCTAGTATGAGAGCCTGTTCTAGTACACCCCCAAAACAAAATCAAGACTTTGTAAAAGAGCATAATAGGACCCCTTTAAAACACGTTATTAACGTCAATACTCTGCGTATAAGTAGCGGCGGTACTGCTCATTGGATATTACACCGTCCTTAGAAAAAACTGAAAATTGTACCGGTCTCTCTTTTACCATTTTGTGGACATCGCTGTCATAAATGCCTTCATTATTCACCAGCAGCTGGCTGCAATAAAAAATTTAGTGTGATAGTAGTAGTAGTTGTTTTTAGTAGTAGTTATTTTATTGTATATGATTAATAAAAAAATATATACTTCATATTTATGTTTTTAAAAAATAATAATTTACAACCTTTCTAGAATGTTTTGAATTTAAAAAAAAAGTTGTAAATCAACCTGTGTTGTGGTGTAATTAAATTCAGTTCTCCATTAGGAACCATTCAAGGAGCATGACTAGCACCTAGGGGACATTGTTGGTATAGCAACTAAAAAAAGCATGCAGAAACCTCATTTTTTGTGATATCAACAGGGGTGTGAAGTAACGAATTACAAATACTCACGTTACAGTAATTAAGTAGTTTTTATCAGTAATTGTACTTTTTTGAGTAGTTTAAAAATTGTGTAAGTTTAGTTATTTTTATTTCTTTATTGCAAAACGCTAAAACTGGCACCGTTTTGAAGAGACATGGGCTCTCATTTTAACCCATATCATGGTGTGTGATGCTGAACTATGAGTTTCTAATGGTGTTTGTATTTGCACTGTTCTAAACATTAATATTTTATGTGCAACAACAGCATATGCTGTCTCAGTGGCCTGACACATGATTTTAAATCTATTTTTTCAAACTTTATGATTTAAATGGGGATGATTGTACTGAGAATAACTTAAATATTTTCTTCAACCGAATACTGTTTCCGTGCTGTTTTGTTGTATTTTAAAGAGTTGGCAGTCAAAATTAAAACTGCTGGATGAAAGATATTCTTCATTCTTTATGACAAACAAGATAATGTGAATTACAGAATGTACAACGTTTTTAAAATGTATAAATTGCGGTGTACAGCGTTTATTATGAGGGGGTAGAATCCACAGCTCAGTACTCACTACACAATACTCATGAATACTTTTAAATAGGCTACTCTTTTACTCTTACTCGAGTAGTTTTTTGGTCAAGTACTTTTACTCTACTCACACTACAGTTTTTGGAAGGTAATGGTACTTTTACTTGAGTATATTTTTTCCGTACTCTTTCTACCACTGGATATCAATGTCAAATTTGGAACACTACTTCTTTAGACTTAGGCTTTTAATTTGACATGAAATTAAATTTAACTATTTTTTTTCATAAAATATAAATAAATATTGCAGTACTTTTTTTTATGACAACAAACTTAAATAGCTATAACTTTTTTGTTTTTAATTATATTTTAATTTAACTTCTTTCACTTGTGCAAGAAACTTCTAAGTGTTTTCTTTAAAACGAGCTCAATATTAGGTTTATATTCCAAACCGTTCCATAATTACATTGATTTGAATCTGGACACCCCCTTTTCAGCTCTACCCCAAAAAAGGGGTTAAGAAAGGGGAGGATAGAATGAAGTATTAGGATATTTTAGAAAAATGCTTATTGGATGGACAGCTATACAGAGCACCATTTAAATGTATATATATGACTCAGGTTTAGGGTCTAGAATAGAGGTCGACCGATATATCGGTCGGCCGATATATCGGGCCGATATTTATCTTTTTTTAATATATCGGCATCGGCCGATATCCGTGTTTAGTAGCGCCGATTTAAAGTCAGGCACGTCCGCGGGCAGCCCCGTGTTATTGGTGCGGTGGAAAGTGCTGCTGCCGCATGTGTGCTGGACCCTCGTTATAAGGGTCATGTCTTTTTTGCAGTGGACACACTGACCAAGGCAAAACAATGGATAAAAGAAGAGCATGCCATTGTGTCCGAGCAACTGAAAACAGCCACCATTGAAGACCAAGTATCAGACCCGAAACAGAGAAGGGTGGAAGATGAAGAATTACCTGGTCCCTCCAGTGTTCTTGAACAAATGTATGCAAACATCTTGGGGCCTCATGGAACTCCTACTCAGGAGAGTGATGATGAGCATCACATCTCTGAGCAGCTGGATCAGTACCTCCGTGAGCCATTGATTGACAGACCGACTGGTCAGCCACTGGAATGGTGGAAACAGAATACATCCCGCCTACACCTTCTTGCACCACTGGCAAGGAAATTCCTCTGTCCACCCCCCTCCTCTGTTCCCAGCGAGAGAGTATTCAGTGAGATTGGGAATATTTATGACAACAAGAGGAGCCGCCTCACAGGAGAACATGCAGAACAGTTGTGTTTCCTGCATGACAACCTGCCGTTCTTAAACTGGGAGTACTGAGAACTTTCAGTGAAAGATGGATAGAGTGAGGAAGACTCAGGGACTGCAATTGAGTTAAAATTAAAGCACATTCCTTTTTATATTGTTCTGTAATGTTTACATAATTTCCTTCACTCAAAAATTAGGGGTTTGCTGCTATGTTATTTGCACTAAAAGAGATTTTTGATGCTGCTAAGTCAAGTGCACGAAAACCTTTAAGTTTTTATTCACAGTTGGTTACTTGAGGACTTTGTTTTATATAAAAATGCAGAAAGTTGCAAAAAGCAGAAAGTTAGAATGCACTTTAGATGTTCTGTGTCATTTATACCAAACATAAATGTTGCTGGTTGCTAGTGTGTTTGCAGCACTACCATTATTTATTTTTTATATATTTTATATTTTTCAGTTTAATTGATTTTTATTTATAAAGTTGTATTTATTTTATTTAAATGTATATTTAAGTTTACATTTATGTTCCAACAAACTTGAAAAATTCTGCTTGATAAATGCTCTAAAACTTTTATGTAAATGATTGACAGTTTTTTTTTAAAAATTTTTTATATTACCTGTTTTATATATTTAATACTTGGTAAGTTTATTGATTTGTTTGGTTAACTTTGGATAAATATTTTATTTTAATACCGTGCAGTGCACAAAATTAAGATTCGAGAGATGGTTCAAGTCAGTGTTCAATAAATGATGATGTTAAGTTTAGAAATGTTGTGCATCCACTTATTATTAGTGTGACATTTTAGCATGCAAATGAAGGGGAAAACTTCAAGATATCGGCCCTAAAAATCGGCAGCACATATCGTCCATCGGCTGACCCTGACCTCTAAACATCGGCATCGGTTATAGAAAAACCCATATCGGTCGATCTCTAGTCTAGAATATAATATGAGTAGATGGGAATACTCGACCTAATCTGGAGCATGAAGAGCTAATTATTAATGTAAGAGGAGCTGAACACGCAGCACTAGCAGAAACACACTCTAATTGGTCCATTTAATTTAACATTCAGAGTAGTTCACCATTAAACAAGTAGAAGAAGACGACACTAACATTAGATGGTAAAATAGTAAAATAGCGATTATATGGCAAATCACTTGCACTTTTTTCCAAAAACAGCTTAAAATACTCTGTAATTTTTGGTCATACAGAGTAATGCATCATTTAAAACATTTTGAGATACAAGTATATTTAACCACTTATACCAAGTCACACACAGCCGCATGTTCACAAATCACACCTGAGCGATTGAAATCAGCCATATAGATTATTTTATAAAATGGTTAGAAATGAAATGCCCTTCCCCCATCAGAGAAACTCTTCTCATGCAGATATGTTGATGTGTGCGCGCGTCTGTTTGGAGGCCTACAGTTTCCCAAGTGAGGAGGGAATATTACTGTATTTATTAGTTTTCTGTTTCAGGTATGATTCTGAATGTCCTTATGTCCATCACTTTACACTGTAATGATGCTTATTTGTGCTGTGCTGCAAATATTTTTTTTTTTTAACTAAAAGACAGAAAACAGATGTTTTCTCATGCTGAGAGATAAGCAGATGTATGTGTGTGAGAAAATATCATATATGGTGTTAAAAATATGAGAAGTAGTTCCTATTCTGTTTTTATTTGATTCTCTTTCCGTTGCTGTCAGGAATTATTTTTTAGCGGAAGGACGACATTTAACAAACTTGCTTCAAAAAAAGTAACTTTCAAGGTCCAATAGTTTTTGTGTGTGTGTGTGTGTGGGAAATCGGAAGCAAGCAGACAACGGCCGTTTCTAGAGCACATGTGATGCCATCATGTATTTGTGGTTAAAAACTAAACTCAGAATAATTGTGGCTCTTAAGGAGGCTAACTTTAACAGAAGAGACTTGATGAACCACTTACTGTGATTTCAGACTGTGCTGATCTGGTTTCTCCACTGCATGGATCTTCATGTGACTTTTAATAGTGAAACTCGTTTCGCACTGATCAGATGTGTACGGTTTCTCTCCAGTGTGAATCCTCTCATGTATTTTCAGGGTTCCTGACCGATTGAATCTCTTGTCACAGTGTGAACACTTGTAAGGTTTTTCTCCAGTGTGAATCATCTGGTGCCGTTTTAAACTGTTTGCAACGAAAAAAGTCTTCCCGCACTCAAAGCAAATGTAATCTCTCACACCAGTATGAATTTTCTCATGTTTATGTAAATTTTGCAGCAGTGAAAAACTCTTTCCACACACAGAACATGAATGCGGTTTCTCCTTCGTATGAACTGTCAGGTGTTCCTTCAGGTTTGATGCCCAAATAAATGCTTTTCCACATTGATCACACGTGAACGGCTTCTCTCCGGTGTGGACTCTCATGTGAACATTAAGATTACTTTTTTGCATAAAGTTCTTTCCACACTGATCACATGTGAATGGTCTTTCTCCAGTGTGGATTCTCATGTGAAGTTTAAGACTTTGTTTGGCTGTGAAACTCTTTCCACACTGATTGCAGGTGAAAGATTTCTTGGCTCTCCTTTTCTTTAAGAATGTATTTTTAGTCTTTGAGCGTCTCAAAGGTTCTTCTCCAGGTTTGTCATGATGTTTCTCCTCCACTTCACTCATTTCTTCACTCTCCTCTTTCTCTTCCATCAGCTCTGAAATGAAAGAAAAACAGTTTAACTTCATTTTCAGTACATCAAAAGTAATTAAATACTTAAAAAAAAAAGTGAAGGACATAAAAGTGAACCATGATGTAACAGCAGACATTAGACAACTACTAGAAAATATTTCCATTTTGTTGTGTTTTTTTTATTAATTATATAAGCAGTGTAAATGTATAGACGTATTGGAGACCTTGGCAAATATAATTTTTCCATTACCGTTTGTTCCAACAGTGAAAGAAAAAGGCAGACCGAAGGGACAAAACATGTCATATTTTACCTTTTTGAGTCAGGGTAAGTGTCATAAATGTACATGAATTATTTTTAGGCGGAAAACATCAGGAAAACAGGTAAACTTTTGCCCACAAAATGTTTGAGATTGCACTAATGTAAAATCAAAGTGAATGTGTCTCACAGGCTCTGGGTTCAACAGTTTTATGATTCTAAAAAAAAAATATATATATATATATATCTTCTCACTGTCCGTTCCATCACATTTTAAGACGTTTGAAAGGTGGATTTATGACATTTTGATGATAATTAAGACCTTATTTTTACATTAAGGAATGCAAAACTTTTTAAGGATCCACAGGCACACTGTTAAATCTTTGTTAGCTTAATGTACCACAAATAGTCATTAAAGATAAATGAAGAATAAATACCAACCTCCGTGTTCCTCCTGTTTTATTCTCCGGGTTTCTTCCAGATATTCCTGCTTGCTTCAAATCTTAGTCACGACTGTGAGGATGAGAATATTACAGGTATTTACTGACTTGATTCAAAAACTCTATTTTTCTATTTACAGAAACAACATTTCTAACCGTTCAGTATGCCAACAAAACAACAGAGATCACGGTGAAACTGAACTTCTTCCTCTGAGGTTTAATGGTGTTTGGCAAACAAACGTATGTGTTTTAGCGCCACCGGCTGGACTGGAGTGTGAAGCGTCGAGTAGTGATGGGCAAATGAAGCACTGATATTAATTTCCATATGACTGTTCTGGGAAAAGATTCAAAGCTTCGAGTGTGTCAAAAGCAGCCTCATCCGTTGGTTAGTAAAAAAATTAAGAAGCTCCGTGGGACGCAGCCACCACACATTTCATAGATTAATTCATGTTACCTGTACAAATAAAAGCCTAACTGTGCGTCTTTCTTCCAAGCCCATTATGCCTTCCTATAGGTTAGATTTCTGCCTCCGTTGCGAGTCCCTATCAAGCACTTTACCGATTCAACTACTCTCTTCTTCTCCTGCCTTGCTCTTTGGCCCGCATCACTCACAGCAGAGCAAGCCTGTTCTTGATAGATCTGCTGTGAAAACGTGGGAAAAGCGGAACGAGGAAGAAGATGGGGTGACCTGACATTTTATTCTTATCCAAAACAACATGTGATATGAGTGTGATACATAGGCTACATAGCCTACATACACTACCAGTCAAAAAATTTTGAACAGTAGCCTAAGAAAGATCCAATAGAAAGATCCAAAGATCAGCATTCATATGAAATAAAAAGCTTTTGTAACATACATATACCATTCAAAAGCTTGGAGTCAGTATTTTATTTTTATTTATTTATTTATTTTTTTTTTGGGAAATGATAGAAATTAATAGTTTTATTTAGCAAGGATGCTTTAAATTGATCAAAAGTGACGATAAAGACATTTATAATGTTACCAAAAAAATTCTATTTCAGATAAATGCTCTTCTTCTGAACTTTCTATTAATCAAAGAAACCTGAAAAATTCTACTTAGCTGTTTTCAACATAATAATCTTTCTGCAGTACTGACAGTCCTTGTTGTCCACTTCTTCCAAGCCATTGTTTTTGCCATATTCTTTTTTGTCATGGTTTCTTCTTTCTTTCCTATAAAATAACTGCACAGACCAATTGAAGGGCCAGTTGATCGTCCACGCTTGGATATATGCCCTATAATCACTTTCTCACGAGAATTTATGTGAGAAAACGTATTTTCGCTGATGGTCGGGAACGCCTCTTCACTGAATGTTTTGTAGTGTGTGCACCTCGTTAGTGTTGTGTTGTGTAGTATGCGCGCAGCTATGACAAGACGACGACAGATGAGAACAAATCTTGTTGCGTAGTGTGAGCAACACAGTGATTCGGCTAGTCTTTCAATCCTGTAGTGTAAGCCTGGCTTAACACAACAACTAGTCAGTAAAGTTGCCTAAAACCCAAAACTTGTTAACAGCAAGTCTTGATTGGTACCCAACCTGTATTAACAGTCTTCTATCAGCCAAGAAGTTGACTAAATAATGTCAGTGAAGAGCAGAAGAAGGAGACAAAGTGATGATAAAAAAGGAGCAGAGTTTATTGAATAGTCTTAGTTGTGTATGTTTCAATGCTCAGACTTCGTCTGACGAACACAGATCCAACAAGTACTGTTATACCAAACTGATTCACAACATCCCATAAACTTTGAATTTCCATAAACATTCTCTTTTATCTCTTACTCATAAAGACAAACAGCCCTTGAAACGCCACAGTCATAACAGTAAACAACAAGGGGAAAATAATATAAAAACTATAATATAAATGACTAATCAATACATGAATCAATGAAATGAGTATACACAGTAAATGGTTAAAATGATTATTATAAGTTATTATATGACTGAATGGAATAAAATGATGAAATGATAAATGATTATGAATGAATGAATGAATGAATGAATAAAAGAAAGTAAACCACAACACAAATGTATGGTTACTCTCTTGAAACAAAACACACAGTTTGCATTTGAGGATCCTCAGATCCTTCTTTCGAGACGAATGATCACAGGCCTCAAGTTCATAGAAATAGCACAGCATGCATATATATTGTCCAGACAACACAGTACAGAAAATGTACAAATGTATGGTTAACAGTGTTTATGTCATATCAGTCCATCAGAAAAAAGGAACTGATATGAAACAGACTGATTTTTTAGTTAGTTAGTTGTTATTGTTGGCTGGATAACTGTAGCAGGTTTTAAAAGCCCTTTCAAATGAAATATGAACACAGTTTGGATTAAAATCCTCATCTGTCCCTCGGGTCATTTTGACCCGAAAACGATTTTCCAAAAAATTCAAAAAATTGTGTGTTGATCGTACTGGTCCAAGATTGCTTTACTTTTGTCACACTTGCACCGGGAATACACACAAAAAAAATTTGAGTGGATTCGAGGAGTTTAAATGGGTGCAATAAAAAAAGTAACAAAAGTGTCCCTCACGGGTCATTTTGACCCACATAGGAATGAATGGAATTTATGAGAAAACTGCATTTTTTTATATATTTATTTCATATTTATGAAATTGTATGAATATATATATATGTTTAGGTATATATAATATGGATTTTGTAATGTTTCAATATATATTTTAATCCATAAACAACCAAATTGAAGCCTTAAGATTATCTCATTTCTCATGTTTCACTTGTTTTGCTCAGTTAAAAATCTCCATAGGGTTCTATAGGCCCCTCTAGTGGCTGTAACCATAAAATGCAATTGTATGTAATTTTTCCCCACCAGATTGGCGTCAGAGACACTCAGTGACTCAATTCCAAGGCCATCTGTTCGTTTTTGATGAAACAGGACTGAAATAGCGTCTTTCTTTTTTTTTTTTTTTGGTGAAATAATGTACAAAAATTGCTTATTTGCTTATGTTTTTTTGCTTATGTTTTCTTAAAAATATCCAGAATAAAAGGTAAATATAATAAAAATCACCAAAAAATAATAGAAAAACCTACATAAAAAATTAGAAAAAAAAAATGTTCCAATATAAGCTTTCTGGACCAAAAATAAAATTAGTGTAATTTTTGGCCTTTGAGTCATTTTGACCCGCGAGGGACACTTTTGTTATAGGTTCGGGAGGGACGGATGAGTTAATATTACATTTTAAGCTTAAATGAATACAAAGAAGTGTTCAGTTTAATGTGTGAAACTTTGTAAAGCTGTTGAAAAGTTAAATGCATCATGAGAGAGTCTCCTGGCCAAACTGCAGCTGCTGCTAATGAATTGTTATTCTGCCTCATATGTCTGTCTGAAATTCTGTGTGGATTCTATCAACCATTAAACCGTCTCTCTCTGCTCAGTGGTTAAAGTATTAAACTCTGGAAGTTCCTTTAAGATCCACATTTGTTCACAGTTATCTGTAAGCAAACAGCTGATATGATAATGTATGCAACTGTTGTGTCCCTGTGTGATGTCTAGATGTGTTGTTTGCTGTTCTTTTCTGCCGCTCTCTATGATTTTAGCTTCATGAGGAACTATTTGATTTGAGCTCAACAATGGCACTATATTGTCTTCTGTAGATCTGCTTTAGAGCTGAAATTAAAGGAAATATTTCAATAAATATATGAACATAGATTGCTGTTTATTGCTGTGAAGCTGCTATGAACATTTACTTCAATAAAGAAATGATCATTTCATCTGTGTAACTGACATAAACTGAAAAAAAAAAAACATAACATTTTATACAACTTTGTTAAATTAGTAAAGAGACACATTTCTCTTATGTAAATTTCAATTAGCCTGAAAATATGAACCTTAAAATTGCCTCCAGTTGATCAGGTAACATAAACGTTTCTTCTTCTTCTTATTATTATTATTATTATTCTTATTCTTATTCTTATTCTTATTATTCGTATTATTTATTTTTTGGTACAATAAAACACTTGGTAATTAAAAAACATAGTAATTAATTTCCATTACTTTTTCTTCTTGAGAGTATTCTATTACTTAAAGCTGCAGTCCGTAACTTTTTTTTGGTTCTGGGATGTGAGGATCCTGCAGGTGGCCGATCGTTTATAGCCTTTTCTCAAAGCAGCTGGAATAATTAAACGTATCATTTTGATGGCGGATCGTAATCCAGAAAGTATTATGTGTTTATGAAACACATGTGAATGAAATTAAATTATATTCCAGTTTTAAATGTGCTTCTGATTACAGATAGCCTGGGATTACACACGGTTTGTATTTATTTGCTTTTTGGGTTAAAAGAATTTCTTATTATGAAATTCTAATGGTATGACAATTAGAGATTAGACTGTACAGAAATTGATCTACACGCTAATACACACTATATTCACATAGACACGTAATGCTGATGTTGTTAACATTAACAATTTGAGAATAAAGTATAACAATAATAATAATTTGAATGGTTTGATGTGATATGAGCTAATTTAGATTAAATCACCATTGGTGATGACAATATCTGGTGAAAATTCTTATTTGGGTCATATATTCCAAGACGTAGGCTAGAATGTGATTGCGAAGTACATTAAATATCCACACCGGTGCAGTGACTGACTGCCACACATACTCTTCAGAACATTAGATTCATCCGCGCTGGAGCCGTGCCGACTCACAACCCACGCAAGGAAGATAATTCCGCAGACAGCTGCAGTTGCAGGTTTTTAAACAGAGATGGCGACAAAGAGGCAAAATTTACGGACTGCAGCTTTAATATTACAGTCACCTCTGCAGATAACCTTATAAACATTTAATCAATCATTTTACAGTTTGATTAGTATTCATCACTGATCCCTATTAAATATTAAGTCTAGGGTGTACTAATTTCTGCAAATCCGTAATTTAAACAAAACTGGCTAATTTTAAAGTTATTAATGACAAATATTTCTCTGTTTTATTGAGTATGGTTTATGTTCAGTACATTTAAATCTTGCCATTTTTCCATGAATTGTATTAGTGATCAGGTGTATTCAGGGGGGTTTATGTTATGCACTCTATATTATGGCTTCATGGGGCTTATTGATTTCAGATATACAGAATCTCTGTTCTTATTCTTAATGGTTAATTGCTGTTTTTTTGTAACAATGAATAAATAATAAAGTGTTAATTCACAGATATGTAAGTTGGCAATAAAAGGTGGGACAGACACCAAAGATGGAGTGTGGAGAATAATAGCAGCAACAATAATGAATTTTCTGGCCAAGAATATAAAAATGAGGGCTGTAAATGGGAAAATCAGCTTTAAAAGCATGCTGCTAAGGAACGTTGTTCTTGGTAAGTCTGTAGTAAACATAAGCCATGACCACATCTGATTTAACAAATATATTTATTTAATATTGTACAGTAGAAACACTTTTCAGGGGCAATCCTTCCAAATTCCATTAACCCGTTATAAGTGTTATTGTAAAACACTAGTTTTACAAGTGTATTGTAATACACTTTTTTAAAATGTACATACACTGTTCAAATGTTTCCTGTATTTTTACAGTAAGTTACTGGCAGCACGGTTGCCAGTAAGTTACTGTATTTTGGTTTTACAGCAATGTACTGTAATGCAACTTTACAGTATGTAGAACAGAATTGTGATACTATACTTCAGAATAACATTATCTTGTGATACTATACTTCAGAATAACATTACAAATCAAAAGGCAATCCAAACATATTTACAAAAGTATTTTTTATTAAAACATTTCAAAATATTGTAGTATTGTGTTTGCTACCCAGAGTACAGTGCATCAACAATTTAAAGCCATGAAAGCATTTTAAGTGTGCAAGAATATAGTGCAAGAATATAAATGAAACAAACACATGCATCTTGAGGGCTAGATTGGGAATCACTGTCCGAAGAGAGAACTTGATTTATCTTAAAACTATCTTAAAAATTAGCAAAACAACAACAACAAAAAAACAAAAACAAGAAGTGTCTCACAACCGTCGCACCTAAATGTAGGGCATGTGGGTGGTGGCAAACAGGCCACTGACTCTCTCTGTGAAGTCCTCCATTTAAACATCAATTGGGACTGAATGAAGTTGTTGACATGCAGGGTTGAGGGTCATCACTCTGCACCACCGTCCTGATCTTCTGCTCACTCCCTGTCTGCCAGTACATTTCTTCCCATCAGTGGTGAAACTGAAACATAGTCATGAAACACACACACAAAGACAAAACCTGTTATCCACATCACCAATAAAGATGAACAGACAGCATGAGGAAAATAGTGAATGAATATTCCTTAGCATAGATGAAAATAAATAAATACAGTTTAATTAAAAAGTTTACATACACCTTGCAGAATCTGCAAAATGTTAATTATTTGAACCAAATAATTGGAGGGATCATACACAATTCATGTTATTATTTAGTACTGACCTGAATAAGATATTTCACATAAAAGATGTTTACATATTGCATATCATTGCTCTTTTGTTATTTTTGATTGCTTCCATTGTCCTCATTTGTAACCAATAAAGATGAACAGACAGCATGAGGAAAATAGTGAATGAATATTCCTTAGCATAGATGAAAATAAATAAATACAGTTTAATTAAAAAGTTTACATACACCTTGCAGAATCTGCAAAATGTTAATTATTTGAACCAAATAATTGGAGGGATCATACACAATTCATGTTATTATTTAGTACTGACCTGAATAAGATATTTCACATAAAAGATGTTTACATATTGCATATCATTGCTCTTTTGTTATTTTTGATTGCTTCCATTGTCCTCATTTGTAAGTCGCTTTGGATAAAAGCGTCTGCTAAATGACTAAATGTAAACGAGGGGGTGAAGACTTTTTGAATTTGAAGATCAGGGTCAATTTAACTTATGTTGTCTTCTGGGAAACATGTAAGTATTTTCTGTAGCTTCTGAAGGGCAGTACTAAATGAAAAATATGATATTTAGGCAAAATAAGAAAAATGTACACATCTTCATTCTGTTCAAAGTTTTATTTTATTTTTTCAATCCTAATTGAACTATGGCCTGACTTAGTCTAAGCCCAGTCTATGAGACCAGGCCTATAATTTTAAGTTATTTTCATTTATTTGTGCAGATCGGCTTTTTTTTAAAGATGGGAAGAAAAAAAAACAGCGCACCTTATAGACACGTGAGTAATTTTCCCCGTATAATTTCGCTCCTCTTGTCGCTTCACACTCCAATCCAGCGGGTGGCGCTAAAACACATACGTTTGTTTGCCAAACACCATTAAACCTCAGAGGAAGAATATTAGTATCACCGCGCTCTCTGTTGTTTTGTCTCGATCCAGTTTCTGTAAGTAGAAAAATACAGTTTTTGAATCAGGTCAGTAAATACCTTTAATATTCTCATCCAGTCGCGTCTAAGTTTTGAAGCAAGCAGGAATGCAGGAAGGAGTATCATCTGAACTGAGATCTGCTGCTGTGAAGATGGTGTTTGTTAAAGAGGAGAGTGAGGAGAACACGAGTGAACCAGAAACCTGGAGAATAAAACAGGAGCAACAAGGAGGTTGGTGTTTATTGTTCATTCATCTTTAATGACTGTTTGTGCTGGATTCGGCTTACGAAGCTTTAACCCTCTGGGGTCTAGGTGGTTTTGATATGCCCTGACATTTGTGAATTAAAAAAAAAAAAACATTTTAATGTCTAAAGGCTGATGATTACACTGTTCAGAACAAACTGTGCTACAATAATGTGAGCAGCATGAATGTAGCCTACACGTTTGTGTTTTGAGTAAACAAAGTTTATGAGTGGTCAGTGAAAAACCAAACAGTTGCTGGTCCCCAGTGACTTCCAGTATCAAATGTGGACCAGCTACTGTTTGGTTAGCCACATTCTTCAAAATATCTTCAAGAAATATATTAAAACAGGTTTGGAACAACATGTTAGTGAGTAGATAATGACAGAAATTACATTTTAGGGTGACCTATCCCTTTAATGACAAGCGGCAGTATGTAACTGCAATGTGTTTACTTTATTTCTGTCATCTCGGTTTCCTTTCCGTGGACTTTCGTAGAGCGCCGCGCCACACAAATAGATCCAAGCTCAGCATATCTCTCATTTTCGTTTCGTTAATCTGTGAATTTGGCCATTTAAGTAAAATATTTCGCACATTCATTCATTTTATATATAGACTATGATTTAATAAAAACTGATTTTGTTATTTTTAGTTAAACTATTTCTGTTGCTTGTCTGTGCTCGTCTGCCGTCTTTTTTCTCTTCTCTGACCCCACAGCTCTCTCCGATAGCTTAGTGTTAGTGGCACCAGTCCAGGTGTTTCCAGGTTTTACTCGTGCTATTTCTCGATGTTGAGAGTTTGATGTTGCACATATTGCACCTGACTATGCATTCTTATCCTTTTCTCCGATGAACTGAAAATAACAGGAGTGTGTCCATCTCACAAATGTAGAATCCATCTCCGCAGTCATCTCAACCATCTAATTCCAGCAACAGAAGATAGACAAACTATTTTACCCGCGGAATTTTTGGAAGAAACCACAATAAACAGTCCACAGGGGCGTT